GAAGTGCCCGGCGTTGCCCGTGGAATTTTGAAAGAATTTGTTTAGCCCATTTGGTCCAGCCGTTCGGCTAGCTATAGCTAGCATATAAATATAAATATATTTGCGAAGAACTTTGTAATATAGAAAATATAATTATGTAAACTTAAGATATAAATGTATGATTTGGTTAATTGATATAGAAATGATATAGACATATTATATAAATAAAATTTAGAATTGTCTTCAAATCAAAATTCTAATAAAGATTTGATTTTTTTAGAAGTTTAGAATAGTAGTAAACCCAAGGCTGCTGCAAAGATCTATACATATTGTCATTGTCTCTTTAAGCTTTGACGTTATTTTTTTCGAATCACTATAGATATAAGACGCTTAAAACTAACCAAATAATAAGAAATTGTAAAGGAACAATCTTGAATATTCCATTCCCTTTATCTTTGCAACCTGGCGGTGTAAACCTTTGATATTTCAACCTTAGATTACTTGATCTAACACTAACAGAGTTGATAGTTTGAAATATCTAAGGTCTACATTAGGTTGCAAAGGTATTTAAGTATCAGAGTTTGTGGGGAAACTCAATTCCTTTCTGCATTCAAGAATACAAGTATATAAGCACATATTGTAAGTGACAGTAAATGGTGAACTAGCCAGAAGGAGAAAGTAAAATTCATTACTGCTATGACTTTGAGACCTCGTAGCTCTTCTAGTTTTGATTTACATATTAGACATTCAAAACTTTTTGTTCTTCAAAAATAGCTCTTGGTTGGAGTTATGATTTGGAACATAAAGGATTTCAATCAAACGTGATATTTACTTTAGTTAGACGTGAGTAAAATTTACTTTAGTTAGACGTGAGTAAAATTTTAAATATTATGATGCATGTTAGCAACCATGAATCCGAATGCCAAGTTTTAAGAACAAAAATTTGTAACAGATAAAGAGTAAATAGTATAAAACACGTGTTTATATAATAAATATCAATTCTCGCTTTTAATTCACTAATTATCTAAAACCTTTTCACACTCTGCTTGAACCATTCCACACGCTATAAAACATTCCACATACCAAACAAACCTTTTCACACTCTGCTTGAACCATTCCACACACTATACAAACATTCCACATGCCATACAAACCTTTGCACTCTCTGTTTGAACCATTTCACACGCCATGCAAACATTCCACATACCATACAACCAAGTTGCACTCCCTGTTTGAACCATTTCATACGCCATACAAACATTTCACATACCATACAAACCTTTGCACTCTCTGTTTGAACCATTCCACACGCCATATAAACATTCCACATACCATACAAACTTTTCACACTCTGCTTAAACCATTTCACACGCCATACAAACATGCCACATACCATACAAACCTTTTCACAGTCTGCTTTAACCATTTCACACGCAAATCAAAACAATCAACATGCCGTTTAAACCTTTCAATTGTCCACAGGAACCATTTCACAACCACAAAAACCATTCCACATGCCATTCAAACCTTTCCGCACTGTTCTGTGATTGAACCATTCCACACGCCACAAAAACCATTTTTAATCGTCACTTAAACCTTTCCCTTTCTGCTTGAACCATTGCACATGCCTCTCAAACCATTCTAATCCGTCACTCAAACCTTTTTACAAACAACACAAATAATACAAACCTTTCCACACTCCGCATAGAACCATTTAACACGCCAAACAAACGATTCCACATGCCTTTCAAACCATTCTTATCCGTCACTTAACCTTTTCACACGCGAAACATATCATACAATACAAATCTTTCACGTGCCACGGAAACCATTCCACACGCCAATCAAATTCCTTTCAAAACTCCAGTCAAATTTGTCCACATAAACCTTTTCATATCACAATCTTTGCCACACTAAACGCTAGATTTAGTTTACGCGCCACGAAGCTATTCCACACGCCAGAAGAAACATTGACACGCCACAGAGAAAAATATCGAAAAGTCCTACAAACACAAAATATATCGAGTAACCTAAAAACTAAATGAATTTATCTTAAAGTTTGTTAGGGTTCCAAGTAGTTTCATGTTTTGATTTTATTAGTTTGTAGTTGGCTAATTATTAGATTAATAACTTGATGCTATTTACATTGCGTATATATCAATCTAGTTGATAATGCCCCTCGGGACTCATTTTATAAGTTCAGAAAATTAGAGACTGTGAATACATTTACTCAAAAGCGATATTGAAACATGGATAATAAGAATAGTATTTTTATTTTATTCGAAGGTGTATCATTTTAAAGGAAAACGCAAAAATAGTTTTTGTATTTTACTTAAATTATATAACAAATTAAAAACAAATTTAAAAACCTCGTTAAGTATCACAATTAAAGATTAGAGTTTTTTGTTTTAATTAATTTCATTTGAGAAACTGCTGATTAGCTTTCTTCGACATGTTGAATTTTGAATATATTTTTTCATGGTTAATGCCAATTTTTTCAAAGATTTTAAAATTGATTAACTGTTATTTCAGTAACATTCATTCATTTCAAACGGAGAATTACGAGAAGACTTTAAAGCATAAAATATCAACCCTGTTTTATAGGCGATTATATCAATGAAGACGACTTTTTTATTTGATTTTTAATTGTTGAACAGCTTTTTTCTAATTACAAGTTTTAAAGTAAATTCAGAAAAACTTTTAAAATTAACAGTTTTTCTTTGTTTCCATGTGTTTGTGTATTCCTTTTGTTGAAAGATTAATATAAATCAAAAAATTTAAATCGAAAGTCGTCTTCGTTATATTGATATAATCTCATACCACTGTATGCAAAAAGGACGAAAATGTGTATAAAAACATGCGAAATTTACAGTTAAACCGTAGATCCATACATCGAAAAAATTCATTAAATGTCGTATTCTTCACTAATGTACTGCTGCCGATATTTAGTTTTTTAATTAAAACTTTAAAACTGTTCCATTTCTGAAAACCGACCATTCCCCGCTGGGTTTCTATAAGCCAGAAACCGACCATTAGCCCCTAATGCCTCGATTTCAAAGGCGAGAGCATTTTTCAGAAACCCAACTGCATATCAATATTCCTTTAAGAAATTGATTTTTATAATTATACGAGCGATTTTTTTTACATTTTTTATCTTTTAGCCTAATTTTTGAGGGAGCCATTTATGATTTTCGTGAAAAATGCAGTTTAACTCGTTTAATACAATTTGGCTTCTGTAAATTGATTTTGATAGTATTTTAAATTAAAGTTTTTTTCCTAAAATGAGATATTCTCGACCTCATTTCCTTGCTATTCTTTAAAATGTCTATATTTTTCTTTGAGATGCACCTTTAAAATAGAATAAGTTGGGTTGGGTCAGTGTTTACGGAGTTATTAAGAGATGATTAAAATCATAAACTTAAACCAGTAAAACCTACCAAATACTTATATAGAAACCATCAAACTCGAAATTGGATAATTAGGTCGGTTAGGCCAGTTTCATAAAGAATATTTTTATTCCAAGTATTAATTACATTAGAATAGAATCTGTCTAACCCTAAAAGCGTGAGCAATAGAAAAAAGGGGCTGTAAGCATAATTTCAAGCATGCAAAGATGGCAAATCCCGATTCGCAAGTGTACTTAAAAATTATATTAACTATTTACGAATGATATTGAATTATAACTTTATCAGACAAAGCTGTTATGGGTACCATTGTGAATCAAGCCTTCTTTCCAGAGAGGATTTCTTGAAATTACGCGTTGAGTACATCAAGGATAAGAAAAAAAAATAAAGAATGTGAAAAATATAAGACGACATTCAACATTCTCACTTTCAGAAATTACCTTAAACACAAGATCCATTAATGTATACAATGTACATATACAGGTCATCACATATCAAATTTAATGCACATTCGGTAAATTGCTGAATTTTTTGAATCGGGGCCAACCAAAAACAAATTTATTGACTACAAATTGTTGTAATAATACATAATAACCTTTAATGGATTGTCAACGAGTTTAAAATGGTTTCAAAGATTGAAACAAAAACTAATTCTTAAGAGGATTAGAATAAGATAAAAAAACGTCCAATAACTCAAAGAAGCACCCCTACCCTTTCCTTTTATTTAAAAAAAATAATGGAAAAGGGAATTTTTAATACTAAACTCTGAGCTACAAAATTTTTTTTTTGGATAAAAATATTAAAAACTCCTGCCACTTACCCCGAATTAAAAGAATAAAACCGTTACTTCATAATTTCAATTTAAGAAAAAAGGCTTTAAAAAACGGTTGTTTGGGAATCGTAGATGGCACTCTTATAATCGAGAGTTATTTAAAATGGCGCTGACAATCCTTTTAATATTTCTCCTCCATGCAAATATCACATTGGTTATTCACAAAACGGAAAACAATCAAATTTAATTCATCAAAGAATGAAAAAAAAAAACATAGGAATTGATAAATACAAGATTTAACTGGTTAGGAAAGTGTCAGAATGAATATTCATTTAGTTAACAATATCAAAATTAAATATACAATTGTTTAATAATTAAATTACAATTTACTAAAGGCACAAGTAAAGAGTAAAAAAAAAGGTTGAAAAAATATCATTTAGGGTTGAGATGGTGATTTCAAACTTTGAATATGCCAGAAAATAAATTTTTCAAAAATCAAAGTTTGTCATTTTTTTCTATCTAAAAAATAAAAACATTTTTTAATGTTTTGAAATTTTAAAAAAACGTTTCAATCCCACATTGAAAGCAAATTAACAATACGTCTAAGAAAATATCAGAAAGTTCAACAAACTTTTTTGAAAACTCGACAACCATTGAAAACTTGTGCTTGCTATTCTTACGACAGGAGTGTACATTTTAATTAAATACCCCCCCCCCTCACCCGCCGTGAGATGATTTCCAAGTTATTCCACGCTTTTAATACCATTTTATACTTTATTAGGTTGTTTTGTCATATAAGTTGAAAAAAGGAAAGGGGGGGGGAACTTTCAACAAAATATACATCCCTGACTAACGGTTTTAAACCCGTGCGTAATTTTATCACAGATAAATAGAGTACAAATACGATCAACACAGGGTCTCCACGGCCGGAGCATTTTTATTCAAAAAATTTTAAATAAAATATTTCCAGATCTATTTCTGAAAAGAGTCCGCATCAGCCCAGAGATCTTGCATCACTTTAAATTGCTGAAATATAAAAAATAAATTTTTTTTTTAAAATATACATTTTTTAGATGTTACTTTGAACATTTTTTTGTCCTAAAAACAGAATAGGTGATTGAATTCAAAATATCAACAAAGCTAATTAAACGAAACCTATAAACTATAAACTAGGTGGCACTTGAATTCACGTCTTTGCAATCCTTTCGATAAAACTGATAATCTAGGTTATCCAGGGGGTTTTCAGGCCCCAACGGATGATGAGCCCCGCTCCGTGAAAAAAAATCCTGAATACGCCCCTGAAATCCGTAAAAATAACCAATGTAAAAGTATCACCTGTTCTAACCATGCATCATCAGCCAGGAGTTCATTTAATATGTTCGTAGTATCAATTCCAGGGGTTCCGTCCTTTCTACTCTTCACAATATCACTAAATATATTCATTTTTATTTCAGACAGACAAATTATTTAGTAATTGTATTCTGTATATTTTTTGTATCTTTGTTTTTTTTCTGTTACAGTGAGAACCATTAACACTGTGGAATAGGAATGCGACATTAATGCAATCTTTCAGTGTATGTTTAAACTTTAATAAGGAAAACAATTCAAAATTAACTTATTATTTGTAATGAATTCGTGTACAACGAACATTGACAATTGCTTTTAAATTCGGTGATGCTGATGGACCAAACCTTCAGTAGATGTTAGTTACACATTTTATTGAAAATATGTTTCGGTCTAGGTTGACCCTCGTCAGTTCTAACGATATCATAACCATCAAAATCGATGTTAAAAACCTCAAGAAAATAAACAAACCAAAAAGATTATTTAAAAAAAAAATTTTAATGGGCTGTCAAATGGACAAAAGGGTTTCGAACTCAGATCAAGAAATGGAAAAAAATGATTTGCAAATATTAACTTTTTAAACAAATGTTTTAAGAAAATTATTATTCTTTGAGATTGTTTCTGTCATGAAGATTGAACAAAACTGTTTAATGTGGTAGTTGATCTAATTAACGAATTTTTTCGTAAATCAGGGGGGGGCGGCTCGTCTAAGGAGGGGTATTTGAACCTTTTAAAGAATTGGAAATAAACAATTCTCTTTTTTTTTTAATTGCTTTGTTTAATGTTTAAATCAAATCAAATCTAAAAAAGTCGTATTCTCCTATTCAACAGTTTTCTGGTTATTTAATAACATAAATTGTTCACAGTTTTGTAAACGAATATATATTTATACATTTGTACCTGCAGGTTACAAATAGCTGATATTTCTGATGATGTAGTTTATGATAAAGCTGACATAATCGGGCACATAGTCCACAAACAGAGAAGTTCTAAAATAATTTCAGGAATATTACTTATGTTGTTAAAAAAACTATTTTTAACAATTAAAGAAAAATATTTCATAAACAACAACAGAACAAAATAATGGTAAAAACCAAAACCAAGAACACTAGACCATAACCATAACAATGACCATAACCATAACAATGACCATGACCATAACAATGACCATAAAAATGACCATAAAAATGACCATAATAATGACCATAACAATGACCATGACCATGACCATGACCATAACAATGACCATGACCATGACCATAACAATGACCATGACAATGACCATAACTATGACCATAAAAAAACTGAGACTATGGTTAAGACTATGGCTAAGACTATGGGTTAGACTAAGGCTAAGACAATGGCTAAGACAATGGCTAAGACCATGGCTAAGACTATGGTTAAGACTATGACTAAGACTATGGGTTAGACTAATGCTAAGACAATGGCTAAGACTATGGCTAAGACTATGGCTAAGACTATGGCTAAGACTATGGCTAAGACTATGGCTAAGACTATAGCTAAGACAATAGCTAAGACAATGGCTAAGACAATGGCTAAGACTATGACTAAGACTTTAACTAAGACCAGCACCAGGACAATAACTATTGACTTACCCTATTCATGATGGCATCTGTATCAGGAGGGACTGCACACAGTGTATTAGGATGATAAGGTTGACCGTACAGTTGTATCATTGTACTTGCCTGACAAGAAAACATATCAAAGTGAGAATCAGAAAAGAATGTCGTCCTTATTCCTTCTTTTACTTGGAATGTTGCAACTGATTAATTTCTAAAAAGTTTTAGAAAAAGTTTCAATTTGTAAAATCCTTTCCGGCATTTCAAAATTCAATGAAAGTAGTAGATGACAATTATTCCACTGTTTTCTGATTCCCATTGTACTATAGTACACCAAATAGATTCTAGTACAATAGATGGCAACGTAGAATTTGTACACTCTCAGTACAGCTGTATTCTGACGTCACAAATGTCAATTCAGTTTTTGTGTCCGACAAAATCATCAATAATACTTACAGAGAAATAAGTGCAATTTTATGTGCTCTTTAGTTTCTGTTTTTGACCTTTTTAATTTAATCTTGGAAAACATGTCAACTAATTTGAGAAAATTTCATTGTCCTGGTTATATTTGACACTTGTGACGTAGTGTATAATTGGTTAATTACTCTGTTGCCACCTAATGTACTTGATAATCTATTTGTAGTACACAAATATTTTTGTGCCGATATCCAATAAATACTCCCCGCCCCTCCATACCCATAAAAATATCATTATTAACAATTGTCCAATTTCTTAAATGCAATTATGTAATCGTTATCACATTCTAAGCTTGTTAAAAAAAATACGTGATTTTCCAGAGTTTAAAAAATTTATAAGAGAAATAAAAACCTCGGGAGGGGGAGAGTATATTCTCCATAATGTAAAAACTCTGTATTTTGAAATAAAATTAAAGTCGTAAGTAGTATTGTTAGTTGTTCAGAATTTTCAAAAAAATTAATTAATAAAACGTCCAAAATTTCAAAACTGTATAAATTGTTAAAAGTTTTTTTATTGAAATTTGCAATATATTTATCCTAAAGAAAATTAAAAACCCATTCAAAAACGATCATAATAACAAATTCGTTTTAGTATCGTTTCTGCATCGTTTTGGGGTAGTTGACAAGATTCCTTTATCATTTATCTACATGTAACATATGATATATATAAAGTTGTAATCTCGGTTTGTCAGTTTGTTTGTCCGATCATAAATCAGGAATCCATTGACCGATTTGCCTCAAAATTTGATTGGGGGAACTCGGGAGACCAAAGGGAATGTTCTAAGCTTGGTTTTGAGCTTCTAAATTGAGTGGGTCGACTCTTATCGTGAAAAATAGCTAAAATCGTAATTTACGATAAGGAGCGGGTAAACGGTGGGAGTAACTATGACTCCCTTGTGCAACACTGGGTTCCCAAGCAAATTTTTAATATTACAAAAAAAGCAGATCTATATTTTCCGTTTAATTCTTAAATAAATAAATAAACGAATAAAATGGTTAAAAAGATATTAATCCTATAAAATAACATTATTCCTATTTAAAAAAAAAATACCTTTGATTTTTCACATCCCCCGCATACAGTGGAGGTACAGGCCTCAGCTCCAAGATCATCCAGACAAGGCCAAACTGTTAATGCATTCTGAAACCTAGTTAAACATATGTAATGATAACAATAACATAACACTAACACTAACAATAACACTAACAATAACAATAACAATAACACTAACAATAACACAACACTAACACTAACACTAACAATAACAATAAAAATAACAATAATAATGAAAATAACAATAACAATAACAATAACACTAACAATAACATTAACAATAACACTAACACTAACACTAACAATAAAAATTACAATAACAATAACACTAACAATTACACTAACAATAACAATAACACTAACAATAACAATAACAATAACAATAGGGATAATAATAACAAAAACAACTTTATAATCATCATTCAACGATCAATCTGTAAAAAAAAATAATCAATAATAACCTTACTTAGGCGGAAATAAAGAAACCAAACTGACACATAAATTAATCTCTTGCCTAAGCTGTCGTTAAGACTATTAAGACTAAAATATGGCTCTAGTCTTGAAACAAGTCGCGTCTAATGTGTAGTGTAAAAGACTAAAAGCAATTTAGACTCAGCTGAGCTTTTAATCGTGAATTTATTATAAATTTCTTTGCTTGAATTTTATTCATTACATTTATTACAGTGGTATAAAATGTTTAAGTGTTAAACTAGCTGGCCAAATGGTTGAACCAGATTGGCTGACCCTTTTTAGGGAACCCATGGTTACGTTACCCTGGGTGTAACATAGGCTAAAAAAAACTTCAAAATTTTTTTCTTCTCAAAAATTTTTTCAATAATTTTTTTTCAACATTTTATTTTTTATTTTATGGGCAACGCCGGGCACTTCAGCTAGTATAATTAAGCTTCCTACCCAATTGTCCAAGATGTTCCAATGAAGAGTTTATCTTTTCTAAGAAGCGTTACGCTGTCCACTCTCTCAATGTTGGACACAAAATACTCGTCTGAAAATAAATTAAAAATTAAATAGTAATGTAGTCGGCGGTTTTATTAACACAAGTAAGACGACTTTTTTATTTAAGTTTTGATTGTTTACAAGATTTTTTCGAATAAAAAGTTTATCAAAGAGAAGTTTTTTAATCGAAGCGCTTTTTTCCATGTTTATATGTAATCATGCTGTTAAAAAGCTTGATATAAATAAAAATAAAAATTCGTCTTCATTGTATTGATATATACGACGAAGACTGTAGAAACTTTAATTTGTAGACATGTAGACTTTTATCCATTAGATTTGAATGTTAAACGTGTTTTTTCTCAATTTACTTGATTACTTGAATTAACTAAATTTCGAAATCTGTAGAAAAATAATCAGTTATTGAGAATAAACGCATGTTTAAAAAAAACGCGTAGCATATTTCAGTCTAATTTCAAACTGAACATGTTTTTGAGAATATAAATAATAAATAAATTGGTTATCTAAAAATGAATTTACAAAAAATTGCAATTTTATTTTGTTCACTATTACCTTGCTCCGTAAATATTTCGTTGAGAAAATTAGGATCTAGGCACTGTGAGATCAGGGTCTGCATGTATACTTCAAAATTTTCCTGGAACTGAGCTGTTTCCGTTCTACTCCGGGTACAGATTTCCCTAGACAACCAGAAACTTAGATTTATTTTAGTTTTTGGATTACTCCAAGGAACCCTAGAAAGGGTGGAGTAGGAGCTGCAGTGGTTGACATAATAAATCTGCATTAGAAGTTTCCTGTTTTTCATCTGCTAGTAAAATAATAAAGTTTATTCCATGTACGATATATGTAAGATATAAAAGATGGGTTCTCAGTTAATTTTGGTTTTAATGGAATAACATTTTATTGTTTTATTGATTAAATTCTTTTCATATTTTTTTGTGGTATTTTATCGTCTTTTTCTCTTATATCTTTTTCCTTTATTTTTTATCATCTATATATAAATTTGGCTTGTCTGTCTGTTTCTATCCAATAAACGTCAAAACGGCTGAACCGATCGGGCTCAAATTTTTTGTGGGACATCACGTGACCACAGGGAAGGTTTATGAATGATAAAAGTTAAATAAAAATGTGTTTTAAAGGTTTTCAATTTTGTAAAAAAATTAAATTCTTGAAAATCCGCGAATTTTTTTTTAAAAATCCGCAAAAATTTGTTCTTCTTTGTTTTTAAATGTAAACAAAAAGAACATGTTCACAATTTAAAAAGAAGATGCGCGCGAAGCGCCCTTAAGCCTAGAAAGAAGGGCGCGAAGCGGCTTGAATTTCTAGTTATTTTAAATTTTACTCGTTTTTTGTTGTCGTTTTTATACTTGTTTGACAAAGATTTTTAATTTTTGTTCATATTCCATCTAATTTTAACATATAAAAACAGTCACTGTAGTCATTATTTAAAATAAATACAAATTATACAATTTTAAAAGAAGTATTTATTATAACTTATTTTAGGATCTGTGTAATTAGTGGCTGGTATACAAACTGTCTGTGTAATCTGTGTCTGGTATACAAACTATCTTTGTAATCTGTGTCTGGTATAAAACCTATCCCTGTAGTCTGTGTCTGGTATACAACCTATCCCAGTAATCTGTGTCTGGTATACAACTTATCCCTGTAATCTGTGTCTGGTATTCAAACTATCCCAGTAATCTGTATCTGGCATACAACCTATCCCTTAGTCTGGTATACAATCTATTTATGTAATCTGTGTCTGGTATACAACCTATTCCTGTAATCTGTGACTGGTATACAATTTATATAAGTAATCTGTGTCTGGTTTACAAACTGTCCCTGTAATCTCTGTCTAGTATACAATCTTTCCCTGTAATCTCAGAACTAAAACACTTACTCAATATCAACTGTGCTAGACGGTGAAGAGGAGGGGTCAGCCTCCTCTCTGGTGACGTGACCAGATTTGATACGGTGAACCACCGTCTCCTTGCTTCCCTGTCGTAGTATTTTAACAGGTACGCAGTCGTATTTGTTCCTAGGCAAATTTTTCTTAATTAATCAACTATCTTTTTTTAAATTTCTTGTTTTAGTCAAATTTGAATATAAAAACATACGGATTTCGGTGGAAAAACATAGCGAAATGGATGGAAGCATTTGTCGTACAAATAAAAAAAAAAACTAATAATTAGTTTAAGAAAAATAACAGTGGTATCAATATAATGGAGTATAAGGAAGACGATATTAAATAGTTTGATATACATAAAATTCAGCAATTGTGCAAAGTACACTTTATACGTGCATTAACAAGCTAATATTGAATATTTTACTTTAACAAAAATCAAGACACAATAGATTACTTACATACAGGGGTCCATATAATTCCATCAATACGATCCAAAATGTTGGTTGATTGATGATATTAGGGACAGAAGTTAAAACAGGTTGTTATTGTTAACAATTGGAAGTATGATGTCAAGTTGTAGAAAAAATTCCGTTCTGCAGAATGTTTGCTGCAATTGGGGGTGATTGTTTTTCTGTATATCATTAATAATCTATCTCTTATATTAATTACTGATATTTACATCTTTTAACACCCCAAATGCAGTACCCATTTCTGAAGTGTAGTACACGTACAAAAAAGTGTATTTTCATTTCCCATCTGGGATTAAAAATGAAATTATGTGGACCCCTGCTTAAACGTCGTCGTCAAATTTTACAGTTTTAGTCCCACTGTGCTTGACAATAATCAGGGGCGGAAACAGGATTTAAGTGAGGGGGGTGCTGCCCCCCCCCTTACTATGATGAAGACTGAACAGAGCAAAAACAGGCTGAGCTGGGAAGTCTTGTACTATGGATCCAGGGGTGTATATTTTCTAGAAATTCATTTTTCTCCCCCTACCGTTTAGAAACTCATTTTTTTCCCAGAAGTTATGGAAAATTAATAAGGGGGAAACCCATGAATTTAAGAGATAAAAGTATCAAAAAAA